GCAAGAGTTAACTCTCTGGGAGAAGAAGGAACAGAATCCCCTCTCAATATATCAAACAGAGGCTGCAGTTGTCCTATGGTGATTCCTAACTGCGGTCTAAGCTAATTAATATCTCCAAGTAATTAAGCATTTTTAATGAGTCAAACCGAATTTGAACTTTTTGTGGTTTAACTATATGCTGCAAAATCATAGTTCCCAAATAAGAAAAAGGTGCAGACCTCTGCACATTCTCTGGTGCAATGCAAAGACCATAGTTCTGTAGATACCTGCAATTCAGCATATGCTTGCAGTAGTATTTTTTCCTCTATGTGTGCAAGCAACATGTCATCTGTACAATGGATGATATAGGAGTTTGGAAACTTTTCTCTAATTGGCAATACTGCTTGAGCAACAAAATTTTAACATAGTGTAGGAGTATTAGCCATACCTTGTGGAAGAACCTTCCATTGATACCTCTTCATGGGTTCCTTAAAATTAAGTGAAGGAATGCTAAAAGCAAAGTGCTTCTTGTCTTCAGGATCTAATAGTATAGTAAAGAAACAGTCTTTTAAATCTATAACAATAAGATGAAAATTCCAAGGAATCATCGTGGGAGTAGGGAGGCCAGGTTGAGTGGCACCCATAATTTCCATAGTTAAATTAACTGCCCTTAAATCTTGCAGTAACTGCCATTGGCCTGATTTCTTTTTAATTACAAAAACTAGAGTATTCCAAGGACTAATGGAAGGCTCAACATGACCTGCCTTAAGCTGTTCATTAACTAGCTGCTGGGCTGCAGATAACCTCCTGAATTAGGGGACATTGGTCTACCCAAACGGGATCATCGGACTTCGAAGATATTTTTTCCAGCTGTAATCTTACATGAGGTAGCAGGAGCTACCAAGGCCCCAGTTACAAATTTTGATATCCTGCCACGGTCCAGCCACGACAGGATCCAGGGGGCCCCGAAGGTGGGCAAGGCGTCGGCGCGGGAGACAGTCGACTACACAACTCAGAGGCGGTGTGACACTGTTCCATTGTATTGTGATTTGAGTACAACTTTTATACTTTTTATTTTGGCATTTGATTATACTTAGTAGTTAAGGTAGCAGGGAGTTAAATTTCTGTGGTTAGGCGAAGCAGAAAATCTTATAGAGTATATTATTATTAATGTTCATGATTAACTAGTACATTTTTCTCTCAATCATTAGAACAGAACTACCTGATGAAACAATCTAAACTTTTAATTCTTATATCTATTACGTAAGATACAGTTTGATTTAAGTAAAGGTGATAGATAGATGTATTCATAACAGCAAGCATTGGCTTGTGGGCAGACATTGTTCTTCTTTCTGCCTGAAGAAATCTTTTAAATGCTATTCGATTTATGCTATATCTAAAGTTCAAGCTGAACCTTTCTCATAGCTGTTCAAAAGTTTCCTTGGTGCAGTAATGAGGAAAATATTTATAAAAATCAGGTTTACAAAGCTGCTTTCATAAGCTAAGTTTCTGTTCCTTTGTTTTTTAAGCACTAAGGAGGTCCTGACCCAGCCAGCCTTTCTATGAAACTTAAACTACTATAAGGCACATGAATTCCATCTTTATTCACTATATGTATACTATCTTTATTATAAGCTCCTGTATAAGGCAAAGGAAGATCAGGTAATCTTTTCATACTATTAGCCCCACTAGGTGGATACCAGAGTTCTCTATTTATCCACTAGGCCACAAAAGGAGGCCTTTCCATGGTAGGCACAGGCTTATGAGTAAATTTCTTATCCTTTACAGATTTTTCTACTAACTGCGTGGGAACAGGAGTATAAACTGGTTCTAGTAATTCAGCTTGTTATAATTTATTCATAACATCTTTAAGAGGCGCATCAAAAGGAATTTCCCTTAATAATTGTTCAAATAAAGGGTTTACGCATTCTGGACACGTCAGGGTGACTAGAGCTGATTCCATACGCAGGGAATTTACTATGTTTTCCTCAGAGCCAATTTTGAGGAAATCCATTTGTACAGCGTTTACACTTACTAGAATTTGTGCTACCCAAATTCCCCCTATTAATAGGATCATTTCTAAGAAACCAATTATCCCTAAACACATGCCACGTCCTCGTTCTTGACGATGCATTCCTTGAAGCCTCTGTCCCCATCTCCGGACCTTGTCATGCAGTAGGGTAGAAAGAGGATGTGGCAATATCCTACCCCAGAGCAATCATATTTAGGTTGGCCTTGTATAAGTTGCATATGGCCTTGTTGCTCCTTCCCAAGTCCGCCAAGAGGGATATAACCTTGTCTAAACATCATGTTAGAAACTTGAGTATTTGGACTAAAAATCATAATCTTTAGCTGTGACAGAACATCTCTTCCCCATAAATTAAAAGGCAGACCAGGAAGTACATAAGGACTGAAAGAACCCTGTTGACCATCAAGATCTGTCCATTGTAATATCTTTGAACTTTGTTATGGTCCTTGAGCTTGTGCTATGCCTTGCAGCTCAGTTAAAGCTGGAGCAGTGGGCCAATTGGAAGGCCAGTGCTTATCAGCGATAACTGATACATCACCTCCAGTATCTAAAAGACCAGAACACATTTTTCCTTCTATCAATAAAGGCATTATAGGTCTTTCTTGTTTAATTTGTTGGACCCAATAAAAATCTGGGGAACCAAATCCAGATTTTCCCCTCTCCCTAGAACTTAATAGTTTCGCAGCCTTTATATGAGGAATAAATACTAATTGAGCAATTCTATTAGTTGATAATATTTGAACAATTGTTCATACTATTTGAGCCATCATTTTAATTTCCCCTGTATAATCTTCACCAATAACTCCTGGCAACACCTGAAATCCCTTCACAGTCATGCTACTTCTTCCTAAAATAAGACCTACTGTTCCAGGAGGAATAGAACCCCATACTCCCAAAGGAATTGCTTGAGGCTCCATTTCAGGAGTTAATACGTATCGGGTGGCGGGACTGAGGTCCAGTCCTGCGCTTCCTGGTGTAGTGCGAGAGTTGTTGAATGGTGGGCTTGCCTGAGATAGCCATTCACATTGGGCGGCAGGACCACTGATGGATTGGTAATTAGTGCCCCCATTATTTGGCGGGGCCGGGGCCGGCCCCAGGGACCATTTCCCTGAATCAGGTTTCCCTGGACATCATAGATAGACTTACAATTATTGGCCCAATGTACCCCTTTTTGACATCAGGGCCAAACTCCAGGCACTTTAGGTTTACTTGCCCCTCAACCACGTGACATTGGGTTACTTCTAGAACCTCCAGCTAAATTCTTGGTGGGACATTCCCTTGCAAAATGTCCAGCTCTACCACTTCTGAAACAACTATTTCCACCTTTCATTATCTTCCCCTGTGGACCCTTTATATTACCTAGAGACTGGGTGAGGGCAGCATCCAGAGCAGCCCCCTGCACATATGCTGGCCCAATATCTGCACAAATTCTTATAAAATCAGACAAACTGGCAGTTTTTCTGTAAGGTCTTAATGCTGTCTGACAAGGTTTGTTAGCATTCTCACAAGCAAGTTGCTTCCATATTATATTCCCTGCTTCACTATCAAATACTGTTCTAGACATAGCCTGCAAGAGGCGAGAAACAAAATCCTGGTATAATTCATCAAGGCCATGCCTTACATTACTCAATTCCTCTGATTTAGCCCCGGAAGTAGGAAGGCTGAGTCAGGCCTTCATGGCACAAATATTAATTTGTTGATATGCCTGGACCTGATACACCAGCTGCTGCATGAGATTTAAATATTGTCCTTCTCCAGTCAACACTTCAACACTTATAGGAACATTGTGAGCAGCATTAAGCCTTGCTTGCTGTCCACTGAGATCACTCTTCCACAGTAAATAATCTCCCTCTGATAAACAAGCCCTAGCAATTGATTTCTAATCACTGGGAGGCAAGGCTTCACTCTGAAAACCCTCAATAATAATTGATTTCTAATCCCTGGGAGGCAAGGCTTCACTCTGAAAACCCTCAAGCATTGCCAAAGTAAAAGGCGCTGTAGGCCTATATGTAGCATAAGCCTGTTTCAGGTCTTTAAGCATCTTAAAAGGAACAGCAGAGTGTTCTCTACTGATTTGCCCATCTACTTGTCTCTCAGTGACCGGAGACTTAAAATCCCCCAGTATCTTCTCCTTGCTCTCTGGCTATCTGCAATCCCTGTTGTATGGGAGAACATAAGGTTTTAGAGGTTACAGTCAAAGTAACAGTATTTCTCTTAGGCTTGGTCCCACAGGAAGGAACTACAGCAACAGCCACAGGCGGCGCTCCATAAGATAATTCTGCCATAGCCGCAACCAGTCCTGTGGCAGACTCTTCCCCTTCCTCATCTGAGCTTTATCAGAGGACTCTGTAGAATGATAATATTTACATTCCTCTGTTTCTAACTCCTGCTTATGCTCTGGCGACAAAAGCTCCTCAGTTAAAGGAGGGGCTGAAGGCAGTTTTCTTTAAAGCTTCATAACCCTCTACTGTACTCTTTAATCTCTGTATTATAGCAGGAAGTCGACTGGCAGAAGGTATAGGGTCAAGAGTGTCCCTTACTAGTCCCCATAAGGCAAAAGTTGGAATAGGAAAATCTTTAGGTCCTTCAGCTGAAAAACGTTCCCGTAAGTGCACTCCAACCTTTTCCCATGATTCTAAATTCACTGTCCCTTCATCTAGGAACCAGGGACAAGTTCCCTGTATAAAATCTAAAACTTGCTGAATCTGGTGAGTGCGCACACTACATCCCCTAGCCCTAAGTATAGCTTTAAGCATTTCTACAAAAATGTTCCGGTCCTTTGACCCTTGTTGTCCCATGTTTTACTCCTGATTATTACAACCTATTCCTATCATTTACTAAAGGTCTTGAGTTTACTTAACACCTTGAATTTACTTAACGCGCATTTTTTTTTTTCCTTAAATTTTACCAGGCTGTTATCTGTACATTCTCCCTCCTCCTCTCCTTTATTCTTTTGTGCGCGCTTTTCTGAAGGAGTTTCTCCTCACCTTACCTTTTTTCATGTCTTCCTATACTTAGGTCCCTGTTCAGGCGCCACTAGCAGCATCCAGCAAGTGGTAAATCCTGCCACGTCCAGTGCGGCCCTAGAAAATAAACCCGAGTGAGAACAGTGGGAGATTGAAAAAAGAAAGAAGACAGAAAGCTGGGATCAGGAGGTCTACTGCCCACTCACTGATGGCGGACGATGGCGCAGTTTTAGTTTTGCAAGCTGCTTTTATACGAGAACATACTAGGTGGCATAAGCAGTTTCCCTTAGGCATAACAACACTGTTTCTTCAACTTTTCCCAAGCCATATCTTATCATGACCTTCAGCTTGTTTGCCTGCTTGCGTCTATGTTTATACTTTCTTGTTCTCAGGAGTTTGCTGAGGCGAGGTAACCCTTGGTTGCCCTTGTAGACTGTAAGAACTTTGTCAGCTTACAGTCCGCTCTCCACAGTTATACTCTTAATATCTTTTTTTTCTGCAGTTAACCCATACTCCAGAAGCTGCAAACTGCTGGCTATGTCCCACCTTCAGATGTTTTGTTTGGCCCTTCCCTATGCAGAAACTCTCACTGATTCCACAAGGCCTAGTAAATAATGTCCAAAGTCCTTAGCTTAAAATTTAAGGCCATGATCAGCCTGACTCTAGACTACATTTTCTATGTTCTCTGGAGTTCTGGGACTCCCCATCCAACTCCTCGTTTTCCAAGATAATTGGAAATAAGAGAACATGAACACTTCAAAATCAAAGATAATAACAATATTGAATTTGGGCTAAGAGCCCAGATTTTTCTCTGTCCTCATCAAAGTTTACTCCACTGCTCATTATTGTCCATGTGCCTTTAGGCAAGTTTCTAACCTTTTTCTGACCCAGTTTCTTTTTCTATAAAAGGGGATAGAGTATATGCTCTATGGGAGTAAGGATTAAGCTCAATAATGTATGTAAACTGTTTAAACAGTAGTTAGCAGATGGCCAATAAATGGTACCCATTATTATTAGTAGTAGTACTATTTTAATACTGCTTCACCTCTAAGCATATTCACGCAATTCATTCAAGTCATTTTTTAGAACACTGAATTGAATGGGAGTCAGACCTGGATTCCCATCAATTTGTGTACCTCAGTCAAATCCCTGGGCTTCTTCATCTGTAAAATATGGACACGCTGTCAGGATGGGGAGGGTGCACCACCACAGATTAGACTAGTGGATCTCTAAAATTCCTGACACCTCTAAAGCCCCATAGGGGTAAGCCAATGTCTTCTCAGGGCAGGCAAACCTTATGTTCCAAATAGGCAGGTCTGAATCCTAATCCTTTTTCTTGACTATAAAAGAATTCATCCCTCTTTCAGTCTCATTTTCCCTGTTTGTAAAACAATAACAAAACAATTTTAAAAGTAAACACCTGTACTACTTCCTTCCTAGCAGAGTTCCTACAGGCACAAAGCAAACGGCGGATGCATCCTAACTAGCTCTGACCTTCTTCCTGCTCCTAAGCTTCTCAACCCTTTCCCTGCGTCCCACCTTTGCCGCTGGTCAGCCGCCCGCTGTCTTTTTCTTCTTTAAATGGCTCAAGTGTTTTAGGTCGCACCATCGAGTTCTACACTTAGGCATTATAAATACGATCCGCAAGCAGACTTTAAGTGTGAAGGGCGGGCGAGGGGAACCTGAGGAATGAATGAAAGCGACTCCGAAAGGCGGAGGCATCGCAGGCCCCACCCCCAGACGCTCCCCGCCCCTTCCCTCTCCCTTTCAAACACTGGTTCTCTGGGACGGGTCTTACGCTTTTCTCTCACCCTTCAAATCACGCTCCACGGCTGGACTCTCGTGAGATCTGTGACTTGCCCCGGAAGACCCGCCCCCAGTGCCATAGAGGCCAATGGGAGAGGACGACAGTTGCGACGGTTGGGTTTTGAAGGAGCCAATGAGTGCTTGGAGCGGAGAGTTTAAGAAGCGTAGGTCTGTACGTCTAGGGGTGGTCTGGGATCGGAACCTGTTGCAGGCACACGGTGAGAGGCTACTGGGCCTAGCCTTGGAGGTGCCGAGGCTGGGGGTGCCGGGCTGAGAGGGGCTGCAGCGCAGCTGCGGCTGGAGTGGCCCTGACTGTGTCGTCGGCCCTCCCAGAGCACGGTCACTTGTCTTCCCCAGGGCTCAGCAGGCATCCATTACGAAGACCCCTCCCCCTCCAGACGCTCTGCTCCCATGGCGCAGTTCGTGTTCGAGAGTGACCTGCATTCGCTGCTGCAGCTGGACACACCCATCCCCAATGTGCCCCCCGCGCGCTGGCAGCGCAAAGCTAAGGAAGCCTCGGGACCGGCCCCTTCACCCATGCGGGCCGCCAACAGATCCCACAGCGCTGGCAGGACCCCGGGCCGAACTCCAGGTCAGTGGGTGCGGCGGGACACGGGGAGGGAGAGAGAACGGCTGAGAGCAGCCTACGTGCCCCCTCCTTTGAGATCCTTGTCAGACTTACCTGTGGCTTCCTTCTCCCCGCCCCAGGCAAATCCAGCTCCAAGGTTCAGACCACTCCCAACAAACCCGGCGGTGACCGCTATATCCCCCATCGCAGTGCCTCCCAGATGGAGGTGGCCAGCTTCCTCCTGAGCAAGGAAAACCACCCTGAAAACAGCCAGACGCCCACCAAGAAGGTATGTGTCCCAGAAAGACTTAAGGCAATGGACCCTTCTGTATACTTTGCATAATGCCATCCTGCCTCACCACCACCTTTATGTGTCAGGAACATCAGAAAGCCTGGGCTTTGAACCTGAATGGTTTTGATGTGGAAGAAGCCAAGATCCTTCGGCTCAGTGGAAAACCACAGAAAGTCCCAGAGGGTAAGACCTGAAGTTCTTGGTTTTTTGAAGGCGAGGTCCCCACATCCCCAGGGCTAAGAGGAGATGAGTGTCTGCTCTTTCCACCTAAGACTGAGGGGAGGGAAAATGTTTATCTGGCCTTCCAGGCTAGGGGCAGGGGAAGTTGTCAACTTTCTCAGCATCTAGACTCAACTCTGTTGCCACAGGTTACCAGAACAGACTGAAAGTACTCTATAGTCAGAAGGCCACGCCTGGCTCCACCCGGAAGACCTGCCGTTACATTCCTTCCCTTCCAGACCGTATCTTGGATGCCCCTGAAATCCGAAATGACTACTGTAAGTGCAGCCTGCTCCTTGCTGGGTGGATGGAGAAAGAGGGCCTGTGGACCAAGCAAACAGGAATCTCAGGCTCTTCCTTTTGCTCCTTTGGCAGACCTGAACCTGGTGGATTGGAGCTCTGGGAATGTACTGGCTGTGGCGTTGGACAACAGTGTATACTTGTGGAGTGCTAGCTCTGGTGACATCCTGCAGCTGCTGCAGATGGAGCAGCCTGGGGACTATGTATCTTCTGTGTCCTGGATCAAAGAGGGCAACTACCTGGCTGTGGGCACCAGCAGTGCTGAGGTGCAGGTGAGACTTCTCCCTGTGCCACAGCTCTATTGTCCCCCAGACCCAGTGGGCTTGCCCAGCAGGAGGATGTTAATGCCAAGGCCCAATCTCTGATTATAGTGGTCCTCTTTCTCGCTAGCTATGGGATGTGCAACAGCAGAAGCGTCTTCGAAACATGACCAGTCATTCTGCCCGAGTGGGCTCCTTATGTTGGAATAGCTATATCTTGTCCAGGTCAGTGGTTTTTGCTAGTTAGTTGCAAAATCAGGCCATGATTTTTGCCTATCCTCCCCAGACTGTACACCTCTGAACTGAAGCAGCTCTGGCCTGCTGGTGGCATTTGGTGCTGCCACGGAACCTGATTCTCTTTTTCCTTCTTGCAGTGGCTCACGCTCTGGCCACATTCACCACCATGATGTTCGGGTAGCAGAGCACCATGTGGCCACACTGAGTGGTCACAGCCAGGAAGTTTGTGGGCTGCGCTGGGCCCCAGATGGACGACATTTGGCCAGTGGTGGCAATGATAACTTGGTCAACGTGTGGCCTAGTGCTCCTGGAGAAAGTGGCTGGGTTCCTCTGCAGACATTCACCCAGCATCAAGGGGCTGTTAAGGTGAGAGTGGGGCTGGGCTGGGGTCTCTGCAGACCCTCACCCAGACCTGCGGAATATTACAGGGAGATGGAATGGTGGGATTGGACTATGCTGATCTGTGACTCCTGTAGCTTCTTGTCTAGTACCTGTTGACCCCACCTTTATCCCATCTAGGCTGTAGCTTGGTGTCCCTGGCAGTCCAATATCTTGGCAACTGGAGGGGGCACTAGTGATCGACACATTCGCATCTGGAACGTCTGCTCCGGGGCCTGTCTGAATGCTGTAGATGCCCACTCCCAGGTAGTCTTTTACCTATTCCAGCCTCTTACTCTCAGATGTGTTCTTACTCTTTATAGTATTCTGGGGCAACCATGTCCCCACAGTGGCTTTACTAACTCTGTACCTTAATGATTTCCAAACTTCTAAGTCAGCTCTCAGTCTGGAGCTCCTGACTCATATTTCCAACACTGTTATTTCCACCCATGTCTATAGGTGGCACGACCCTAATATGTCCCACATTAAACTTGTCACTTCCCCTTTGCCTCCCTCAAATGTATTCCTCTTCACCCTCCTCCTCTTATATTGTCTGAGACAGAACCTACTCAGAAATCTGAAAACCATTCTAGAATCTTTCATCCTCCTCAGCTAGTCATCAAGATATACATTTCACATCAGAATATCATTCATGTGTCCCCTTCCCTCAGTCTCATCCTTCCCGGTGGAGGCCCACTGCACTGGTCTCAGCATTCTTATTTACTCCAGCCTGTCTATACTGTGGTCTGGGTGGTCTGTTACTGTCTTCCTTAAACCTTGCAGTGGCCCCCATCGCCTATAGCATATGATACAAATCCATTGGAATCTCAGGCTCTTGCAGGATCTCCCTGCAACCATTCCAGCTTCTTCTTCCACCACGCCCACCACCCCTGCCAGCCCCATGTAGCCTTCATTCTAGATTTGGGCTTTGGAGCCAGAATTCAAATTCTGGCTCTGTCAACCTACTGACTTAACTTGCATGTGATCTTAGGCAAGTCAATGAACTTCTGCTTGATTCCTCATCTGTAAAATAGGTGACTGTTAACTCTCAAAAGGCTTTTGAAAGAACTGTAGTGATTAAGTATGAGCCTATAGCACCTGGCAGGATGCCTAACATTAGAATGGACTAAAGTTCTGATATGAGTTGTGTTGACTCTTACGTTGTGCCCACACCGTCCCCTCTCCACAGGTGTGCTCCATCCTCTGGTCTTCCCATTACAAGGAACTCATCTCAGGCCATGGCTTTGCCCAGAACCAGCTGGTTATTTGGAAGTACCCAACCATGGCCAAGGTGGCTGAGCTCAAAGGTAGGTGCTAAGTGATAGAAGCCAGACACAAAAGGCTACATATTATATCATTATTTATATAAAATGTCCAGAAGAGGCAAATGCAGAGATAAAACAGATTCATGGTTGCCAGGGACTGAGGGGACAAGGTAATGTGAGACTGTCTTTATTTTATGGAGTGATGAAAATGTTCTGAAATTATTGTTGTGATGGTCGCACCACTTTGTGAATATACTAAAAACCAATGGATTATATATTTTGAAAGAAAAATTTTATGGTATGTGAATTAATAAAGCTGTTATAAAAAAACAAAAAAAGTAGGTGGCCTTCAAAATTGGAGGGCAGAAGTATGTCTCCATTTATATGTGCTGCTCTCACTCGTTTCCTCCTCATGCCCCAGGTCACACAGCCCGGGTTCTAAGTCTGACCATGAGTCCAGATGGAGCCACGGTGGCATCAGCAGCAGCAGATGAGACCCTACGGCTATGGCGCTGCTTTGAGTTGGACCCTGCACGGCGGAGGGAGCGGGAGAAGGCCAGTGGGGCCAAAAGCAGCCTCATCCATCAAGGCATCCGTTGAGGATCAACTCATCACTTCAGTTTTTTGTTTGCTTTTTTTATTTTTCTAATAAAGTCACGTCTCTCTCTTTTCTCCTTGCATGACCTCTGTCCCGGTGGCCTTCTGAAGTGGCTCCTTCCTACTGTGTTCATAGAGCTAGAAACATCTGTCCCGTGGGAGCCTTGATCATCCCTCTTGTTTTTAGACCAGGCTAGCATGTTTCATTCCCCATCTCCACACGCGCACGTGACCCCATCTCCACACGCACGCACACACACACACACACACACACAGCCTCATTAGTTTCCTCCTGTCACTTTTAATGAAGACATAAGTGAGTTGAAGCAGTCTCCACAGGCTGTATTTTCTCAGGCCTTCTACCCACTCTGACTTTTGATCAGAGAAGCTCCTGCTTCTCCAGTGGAAAATGAGGGAGCCTGGGTCCACAGTGACAGATTATTGCTGACCTCTTCAGTATGAGGAAAAAGGCCACAAGACCCTGGTGGGGGCCAGCCCTGAGTGTTCCTCTCCCAAGTTTAAGGCAGGGAGTGGGAAGTAAGTCCAGCCCTTTCAGCCTCCAGCTCTGGAGTAGTGGAGGGCAATGAGGCCACATCCTTGGGGCTGGTCGGGAGAAGTAGGTGAGGAATGGAAGCAATGGTCCCTGTGTGCCAGCTGTGGAGAGGGAAGGGCCTGTCCCCTGTTCAGTCTTGACCACATAAGCCCTGGTCACAGGTGCAGGTGGGGAGGACAATGACAGATGCTGCCCAATGTGCAGTCCTGAGGCACTTAGGTGGGCGCCTAGCTAGAGCATGTTTCTCAGTTGGCCTTGACTTTGGTGGTACCTGAAGCTCCATTTTGCTGAACTGCACGGGGCAGCCGTTTGCCTTTGGTGTAAGAATGATACCAGAAATTGGAGAAGAGCACAAAGAAGATGGTGCCGTACATCCAGATGAGGTGGATGATGACTGGATACTGGTAGTTACAGCTGGGCATGAAGTAGTACTGGGAGATGTGCAGTGAGACCAAGACAAACTGGATCTAGGACAGAAAGGCAAAGGTCAGGGAATAGAGGACTAAACAGGGAGTAGAGACTAAATATTCAGTGGGTGGGGCGGGGTGGGGTCAAAGGTGAGAGAAGTCAGATAAGGGAAGGACCCAGACTAGGAATGTTAGGATGGTTACAGGCCAGGTCCAGGCCCCTCACCAGTTGGATGGCAGTCATATGCTTTTTCCACCAAAGGTAGGGCTGAGCCACAGGGCCGACAGCAGACAATCCATAGTACAGGTACATGATGACATGCACAGAGGAGTTTATCATGGCATGGAAAGAGCCCATTCCTCCTGTGAGTGGACAATAAACAGGGTCAGGAGAGTTGAGCCTTTGATCCCCAGTACCTGCCCCTCTTCCCCGAGTGGCTTTCACTCACCTGGGGCAATGTTTACGCCCCACCACCAGCTCCAGGGAAGCACTGAGTGGTGGAAAACATGTAGAAAGGTCACCTGTCCATCTTTTTTCCGGAGAATAAAGATCACCTGAGAGAACAGCAGGGCAAGGGGTTTCAGAGCCAGTGCCTCTCACTCTTATCCCCCCCATCTCAAGTTCTCACATTTCATATACTCTCACCGTGTCCATCAGCTCAATGAACTTGGAGAAGAGGAAGAGCCAGGCCACTCGAACCATCTGCAAGAAGTCAGGGCAGCCTTAGGACCCCCACACTGCTCCAAGAGCTTCCCTAAACTGGCCCATGAGTACAGGTCACACTCAAACTGTTCCTATCCCCAGGCTGCTTTTGACCTAGTCCTGGCTGCTGCTTACCCTCAGTGCCTCCGGGTTGTTGGAATAGTCCACAGGGTCACAGCGCCAGGTGTAGCTAGTCAGCCAGCCAGACATCAGGAACTAGGAAGGGGTGTAGATTAGGCCACCAGAGTTCTCTCCCTCTCCCAGTCCCTCCCATTTTATAGTTGAAGAAATGGCTCTGAGTCTCTCTGGAAAGGAGATGCCATGCTCTGGCTCTAAAGCCTGCCCCTTATC